TATAAGATATGAAATTATTATGTTGTTAAAGGGATAATAGCACTGTTGTCATTTGTTAAAGTCCTTTTTTAAATGCATGAAAAGACTTGAAATTTTGTGCATGCATTGAATAAGTTAGCTAAAAAATGAGGAGTGATGGATGAAACGAGTGTGGTAAAATCTTGACAAATATTGGCTATATGGAGCTCATTATACTATTTCTCTATTTTTGTATATGTTTGAAAATTGTTGTCATCATCATCATCATCACTATCAGGTACAAGACTTACCAACAGGAACAGACTAATAAAGCAGGTAGACATTCAGGTGTAATAAAGAAAATCTCAACCTATAATGCTTCCATATCCCATAATTGGATTATTTTTCTCTATGTGAGTAGCTAGACAAGTTCCAGTATTTTATCAATAAGATAACTCCATTAAATGCATTACACTCCACATTCTTGAGGACAGCAGATACTGATGTTCAGAAAGTTTACACCATGACAATAGGACTACACCAACTTAGCTGATGTAAACAGATTATCAAAAATGGCCTGCCCCAGGCAAAATGAGTAAAGAAGAATGATACTCCTCAAATGTCTATTAAAAAATATTATTCCACATTTTCGGTGACTTCAGTAGCTTTGATTAATGTTGATGTAACTAATGTTGTACAGGCATCAACATGGTTAGTCGAATCTCACAGAAAGAACTCCAAGAGTAAAACCAGAGGGAAATGTTAGGCACCCTGTTTTCTCTCCGAATTGGTATTACATTAGAAGCTTCACCGTAGCACTTTGCCCTTCATATGTCGGCATTGGGGGAAAGAAGGACTGGGGGGCAAAAAATACAGGGCAGAAGAGAAACTTAGCACAGGGTCTTAATTAACAGCAGGCCACATAAGCCAAAATCCTTACACGTGGTGCCCACTGGAGTAGGGCAACATGGAAGACCTGAGAAGGTGGCACGCAATTCCCACTGCAGTGCTGAGTCAGACCAGCAACACACTCCAGGGAATAGTGCCAAAATGACTAAGCCACAGCCTCTGTTTATTCGTATTGTATGTGACTCACACTCCTACAGCTAGGGCAAATGCAGCCCTTTATTTCTGCCTGTTGACTTTTGGTTGGTAATCATTTAAAATGTTCTATTATCATAACGCAATTATAGTGAAATTAATCTTGAACCATAAAAATGACAGAATTAATTACATTCATTACAATTACAATCAAAATTATGAACTCATCGAGTCTGATAGCACAATATATCCAGGAAATCAGTCAGGTATCCAAAGATTGATGCTGGTGGCACGTAATAGTCAAATGATCCCTAGCACTATTAACAATGAAATAAAATCAAGGGTTCCAAAAACTCAGTCAGACCACATCTCAGGGTGCAAGGAGATGCATCTGTCCTATGGCTGGAGTGGTGAAAGCATAGCTGATGCAAAGACGCAAAGGACGCAATACCCTTCTGTCCACTTATATGAGCTTTCTAGTGCATCAGCTCTCCAGGACCAAATACTAAGGTGGAAGGTAATTCTATATTCTCCACTGAACTTGAATGCTCAGTATAACACAGTTACTTGAGGTGGGGTGGGGGAAGGGCAATTTTCTTCATCATTGTATTAACCATGAGGAAAAGCCCTTAAACCTAGAAGAGAAAGGTATAATAATAGAGCTTCTTAAAGAGATGTTACTCATGATCATATCTGCAGCTTGACAAATCAGACAGTGTTTTATAGAAGAAGAAAATTTCTATAGCTAAAGACAGAAAAGAATAATTTAACCACAAAGATATTATTTCCCAAGCTTCAGCTTTCCGTTGGCTTATTCAATAAATGCACAGAAGAAATATAATCTAAGACACGTTTAAGTGGAGAGAGAGACTTGAAAAGTGTTTCGAAAAATGTGCTTCATCAAGTAAAAGAACAGCAGAAGGAATTTTTTTGGTGCAGAAAATAAATATAACTGTTTTCCCTGTTTAGCTAATCTCTCCTCAGTTTCCCAAACCTATTGTCAGCACTACTTCATTCAGACATCTCGAAATCACACTCTTACTCCCTGGGAGCCTTGGCCTGGCTGTGACCCTGGCCCAAACTTGACCGCCTCAACACAGGCTTGTGCTATATTGTTGGCTGTAGTACAGAGACATGATGCTGCAAGGGCTGAAGACTATACCAGCCAGGCACACAAGTGCTCAATGTGTTTCATCATCCTCAGCCAGTCTGTCTAGGACTGAGATATCTCTCTGCTGACTCCAAACACCCGGATATATCAAGAGGGCACACACCCTAGAACAGGGCTCCCAAGGCACGACGTAAGTCAGGCTGGGCGTGGAGGGGCATACCATGCATAGCTGTGGGACTAACAGAGATGAAAGCAGCACATATCTGAGCCCAAATTAGATCCCACATTGTCCTTTGCTTTTGCACCTATTTTAGCAGTGTCCTGTAAGATGTCTGTCTCCCCACAAGAACCATGGTTTAATCCTCTTTGGTTCCCCCGAAATGATAGTGTAAGGATCCCTCTTACAGGTAGCAAATACTTGATAACTGCTATAGTCAATTCCTAATTTCACAGGCTAAAAGGAAGAGCAGCTACTCTGAATGAAATATGACAAATTTTAGGCATCAGACTTACTCTAAACCATTATGATTTATATATTCTCCTCCTGTTCATTTCTACTCTTTCCTAGAGGCACCATGGAAAAAAACGAAGACCAAAAATAGAAAAGACAGATGCAAGACCAAAAATAAACAAACAAATAAACGAACGAACAAACAAACAAACAAATAAATCCAACAAGTGAAAATATTCACTTCTACATAAGGTAAAAAAACTAAGCCACTGTTACTGGCCACCCTCACCTAGTGAATTTTTAATCCTCCTAACCCACCAAATTGAAACACCCTGCGCCTTTTTAAATTCATAGCCCAAGACATGCACCACCACCACCCCAATCTATAGGACCCCATAGATTGTCACTCAAGATCAATAACAGTCCCAAACTCGCCAAGTACAACACAAAATGAGCCAAAAGATTTGTTCTCTCCTTAAACATAAGGATGCATATGAAAAAATGTACCCAACCCAGAAAAATAAAAAATTAGATCTGCTATATCTGAGAAACAGGTATCTGGCACTAAAAAAAGGATCAAGCAGAGCCATAAATTTCCAATCTGAATAAAAAATGTTATCAGTGATAATACTTTGGTGTTTAAGTAGACATGATAAAACTCTACCAGTTGTTTAAATCATTTGAACATCACAATCAATTACACAAAAATACACAGATGTTTTCACTCAGATATGTTATTTCCAAAATACACTACAGTATACAGTTTCTACAATTCCTCTTACACAAGCCTCCAGAAGATAAACTGCTCCTAGTGAAGCGTTTGACATTTTGACTTTCTTTAATCCTGAATTAGATGGACACAAAATTGTTTCAATAATTATTTTTGAAAAACGCATAAAAAGCTTAGTCTTTTAATTAAATGTGGTGATTCATTTCTTCCTAAATTTATAGCCATCGCTCCCATAAAGTTCTATTCCTGGTGTCTTAAACAATTTTACCCCAAGTGAAAGAGTTTTTATAATAAAAGCAAAGCTCACAAATAGAAGCAGTGACTGGTTAGCTCGGTTGATTTGTTAATTCACTTCTAACAAAACTAAACGAGTTTCTTTACTGCAGGACATTTCTGAACCTTTATTTCTGTGCAATATTACTCTCCAAAAGGAAGGAGTAGTATGTAGTGATTCCCAAGCTTATAGCACGGGGGAGTTATTTTTTATTTCATGTATTACCAATTAGCCTTTAGCAGGAAAGAGTATTCTGAGGAACATACTTTGAGAACTACAAATTAGAATAAAATGAAAATGAAACTTCAAAAATAGGTTTAATTAATTCCCAGGTAGTCCAGATATTCTTTTTTTTTTTTTTAAAACCATTGACTACATCTTCAAAACCATGGACAGCCACCTTTAAATGCACACCTTTAGAAATACCCTGTAGAACACATAGATGAACTATCAAATATTATCTCCTTTACAGTAACAACTCACTCAAAACTCAGAAAACTGCTATTTTGCACAAAGAGAATTATGAACAATCCAAAGCCTTATAGAATGCACTGCTTATTTCAAGTTCAAATTGAGTAGATGTAAATGGGATATTTTACATCATCATATTTTGGATATTTTAACCATCGTAATGAAAAGGAAGACTTACCAACAGAAGCTGAGTTTTTAATAAATGACTCTTCTGGGACGCTTTTTTCAATTCGCAATGTGGCCCACTGTTCAAAAACAAGAAGTATTCATTTAAACTGTTCCACAGACACAGTGGAGAGTACTTAAACCATGCTTTTATAGATAAGTAAAATTAAACATTAAGCCTTGGCACTCTTTGAATTAAAGTGATCCCCCAGCGAACCTCGGATGTAGCAATATCCCAGACCCAGGGATACTCTTATGTTAGTTACTGATGATGCCCTAATAGAAGGAAAAGATCATGTTTACTCTCTTTAAACCCCTCCCACATACCTTGTATCTCAATAAATTACTACTTCAAAAGATAGTGAAACATGTTGGGCATGAGCACAGGTTATGACATCAAGACTCTCTGGGTTTAAACTTACTTAATAACTCTAGGCTTCAGTTTCCTCATCTGTAAAGTGAGGATAATAGTTCCCATCCCATCAAGTTGCCATGAGGATTAAATGAGATTAACACATGTAAAAAGGAGGACCTAAAGAATAGCTATTATTTTCATAACAAATTAGACATTCAAGAATGAGACACATTCAAAAAGGCCTAATTGCCAGCATCAAAGATAAGCTTGCAGAAAGAGATAGCATGAGATCTGGAAAGCTGAAAAGGAATCTGTGAAGTTGATAAATAAAGAAATCATATGCCCACCTGGTCACTTATGTTTTAAGATGCATAGGAAAAATGTTATGATTATGAGGATCCACAGATTTGAGAAAAGTTAAGGGCAGGAAAAATCAGCTCCCAAATACCAAGATGTGACTTGTGATTTTCTTTATACTTTGTTTTTACATTTCCAAAATTATCTACCATTACCATCATAGTTCAAACACTACAAGTGAACTTTGCTGACAGCATTCCAGAAAATCTAAATGGCTATTTTTCTAGTTTAGAAAAGAAGCCTTTAAAATATTATTTAGATGACTACAATTCCAGAAGCTACCAATGGCTAAATTGACTGATTTGGGGTAGGGGAAGAGCAAAATAAGAGGTAAAATACATTGTGATAATTATAATTAAAACATGTAAAAACTGTGAATTTAAGTGCCCTTAAAGGGGCAAAAAGACAGAATTTATTAAATATATCAAGGCAAAAATCTCAGTTATTGCTAAATTCAGAGGGATTAAACACAGGTGAAAAAACAATTTCAAATAAGTAAGAAAATAACTGATAGAGAATAAACACCCTAAAACATGTACATAAAGGTCAAAGAGTAAGGCATGATCTGAATACATCAGGACCTCTGCATACCATCCCTAAGAGCCAAGTAAGAACGTGTAATTTGTGCTTAGAGAACAGCCTATAAATAGAGGCTTAATCTTCCCGGCTTCAAGTGGCAAATCACAAATGATAATAAGACTCAGTCTTAATTTGGTTGTGTCTTTTTCTCTTCCTAGCTGGCTTAGTGTAGGAGTTCTCAAATTCTAGACCTCCCACCTTTTCTCAATAGAGGTAAAGGTTTATTTCTATAGTTTTCAACTTAAAGCTTTGGTCATTTGTAAGTAGACCAAAGCTTTGGTCATTTGTAAGTAGATTAAAGATATGATTAAAATAAAATATTGTAAACAATCAATCTTTATTAATCTTGGAGCTCAATTTTTTTTATTGTAGGCATGTGATTTTATACTTTATATAAATAGTAATTACCTTCAATGAGGACAATTATTGTATGCTCATATGATGGAAAATATTGATGTTTTGTGGCTATTATGGTTTGTCTGAATTGTATCCCCCCAAATTCATATGTTGAAGCCCCAAGCCCCAGTACATCAGAAAGTAACTGTATTTGGATCTAGGACATTTAAAGGAAGAGATATGTTAAAGTGAAGTCTTTAGGGTGGGCCCTAATACAATCTACCTGGCATCCTTATAAGGAGAGGAAATTTGGACGAACAAAGGGACACCAGAGATGCACAAACACAGAGGAAAGGCCATGTGAGGACACAGCAAGAAGGCACCCATCTGCAATCCAAGGAGAGAGGCCTCAACCCGCCAACACCTTGATGAACTTCTAGCCTCCAGAAAGAACTGTGAGGAAATAAATTTCTGTGGTTTAAGCCACCCAGTCTGTGGTAGTTTGTTATGGTGGCCCTAGCAAACTAATACAGGGGCATTGATCAAATATCATAATGTGCTACAAAGAGCTTTATGTTCTGTCACCAGGCAAGTTTCAGAACACGTAACATCTCCTGAAGTGGTAACTCCAAAGGTCTGTCCTACAGAATGCAGTTACAGTGTTCAGGGCTAGCAAATTTTAAGGTTGGAGGAGAAGTCATTTATTGCAAAATGGAATTTATACTGGAAAACCTCTTTCTTCTTTGGGTTTACTCTCCAGTGAAAGTGAAAATGTGCCTATGCTCTGCAGCCAGATAAATGTACGAATGAATTGCAGTTCTGCCACATCCAGGCTGTAATCATCTCAGACAAAATACTTTAACGCCTTGGGGCCTCATTTTCATCATCTCTAAACCAGAGGCTATTACCAAATGTTGTTGTAAGATTAAAGAAAATAATCTATCTGATACCACCACACAATAGGCCACAAAGTAGAAAAATGTTGGCTTACTCCTCTCCCATACCACACACTTCAAGTACTAAAATAACCAGGTTTTTTTTTCGGACCATCCTGTGCCATTTCCCAAAAAATAGCTATTCTTCTTTCATCACGCCAGCTTCTCTAGCTGATCGAGACAGCCCAACGCAGAAGCAAAATGTCTCTTCAGAGATTTTAAATCTCTTCCAGAGGTATCTCAGAATACATCTGCCTCACGAAACCAGGAAAGGTCCAGCTCTGTCCACAAGACGGCTCTGAAGTACAGTAGTGGCGTCTAACAAATCCCATTACTACTCCCCATCTCACGCTCCCACTACCAAAGACAGTTCAAAGATACTTTCAATCAGGTTCTCACTCTACTTAATTTCAAAATCCCCTTGAGGGAAAAAAAGCAGCTGTCCACAATGCACAGAAAAGAGATTAAGTCTAATTTTTAAAGCTTAGGCCAAAAACTTGCAAAAATATGACACTGTCACCTAGACGATTACAACTTTCAGTTTTTACACTAAAGAGACATTTAAGAAGTAACTAAAGAGAGGAGGAAAAGTACATAAAATTATATAAAAATTCAAAATGTTAGGCTTACTCAAATAATAGCAGGCCATCATCTGTAGCATAATAAAACAGTTTCTTGGCAGAGGCTGTCATCTCAGCAGAGTAAGAACTCAGGCTCTAGATTCAAATTAAAATTCTGATTCTACCCCTGCATGACATTTATCTACTACTGTTGACAAATTTTCTCTGAACCTCCATTCCCTAATCTATCAATAAGAGTAATAATGGGCCCTATCTCAGAGAACTGTTGTGGAATTAAGTTAAATAAAAAGCACATTGCCTTAGTAGCTTTTACTATAACTTACGATCGTAAACAGCCATGGCCTTCTAACACATTCGTTGTATTTCGAACATCAGGGATAATAACTAAGTATTATGATAATATAACCATATGAATTATTGACATGCCTTTTTAAAAAGATGGAAAACTAACTGATGTATTGAAAAAGAGGGTAAGGGAAAGAATAATAACTAAATAAAAGGCAGGAATTATCTACTCCAGGAATGCATGCTGACCCATCAAAGATATAAAGGTAGGTAAATCTTAGTCATAGAGTAGCAAAATAAATTTTAAAAAAATTTAAAAACCAGAGTGTTTAAATCCACCAAGAGTTGAGCGCCTACTATGTATCAATTACTTTCATTCCCCTCTCCTCATTGTATCTGCACAAATACTCCAAGAGGTGTATTCCTATATACACATGTAAAAACTAAGGTTAAGATGTTAAGTGCTCTGTCTCACCTTAGGCCAATGAATAGCAATCCTTCACCACCCTCACTCTCATCATTAACCTAACAATTAAGTTTCATGATTGTGAATAGCATTTTCAACCTTTAACCTATGCTCCTCTCTGATAAACATAAAAAGTTCACAAATGCCCTTCTAGAGATTCAGATACATATCACCTAGATGGATCATTCACTATACATCCCCCCTCAGCCAAAAGTTTTACTTTTCATAGTTTGTATTCCTAAAACAATTTTCCCAATATAGATATAATATTTCTTAGAAATCATTGTATAGCCCTTGAAAATCACTGGTTTAGAGAATGACTAAATTTATTTTAAGAATTCAAGCTTCATCCTTGAGTAGCTTGCCATATCAGGGGCTTATATACACATCTAGAATATGCAGCAATGCAGAGGCAGCACGCAGTAGGTGCTCAATAAATGATTATTATCTGAAATGATGGGCAGCTGAGAAGGAGTCAGAGAAGAGCATATAGCTGAGTCAGTTACATGACAATTAGCAACTACCATACTCATTTATTCAGAAGGCACCCCACACATTTCAGCTTCCAGAATTAGCATTCATGGTCATGAAAAAGCCACCCATTGTCAATAAAACTTATAAAAGTAAACATATAATGTACAAAACTAAATGACCTTTTAAAGTAGTATGTAAATTGTAACATTTTGAGAAATTTGAGAAATCTCCAATTCCAATCAAAGAGACCAAAGAATGTTCTTGGGACTGGAATGCAAAAGAAACAACCAAATCAGTTGAGAACATACTAAGGAATAATGAGTAACAGAAAGGCTGGGCCTTGAATGGAATCTACAAAAGGGCAGGATATTTGTCCAGAACTAAAGATGTTCTAATACTTAATACTAATAAAGATTTCCTAACATTAAACGAGTGCAATTTTTAAGGGAACTACCCCTATAGTCAAGAAAAGCAATCCACTGTACTAACCCGGGCCTAACAGAAATGTCTGTGAAATATCTACTGCTGTTCTAGTTGAAGGATGAAAAGCCCTAGGTTGCCATTTCCCTCTCCTGTGCCTAAAGCAGATTTCACTGTGGGATCACAACTCTTTCCTAATAAGCCCAGCTTCTCCCAAACACGGGCACTCCAGGCAGCTACAACCAACAAGTCAGAGCTGGCTCACAAAATGAATCCCCATTCTAATTCCACATATGCCAAGCATCTCTCTGACCTAATAACTTAGTCTTAGCAAAGAGGGTGGTTCCTTATGCTGCCACTCCCTGGTTTCTAAGCTAGGTGGTGTACCTCCCACTAAAATCAAATTTGGCATTCTTGAGCTTTTGATTAACAGAGAGTATATCTCCGAAAGTCTCTTCAAATCTAGATGGACAAAAATGAAAATCTGAGGCCCTGCCAAATTGAAAGCCTGATCCTGGAATGGAGTTATCCTTTCAAAGTATAGTAGCTATTGGCCAGGCTGACAGCAACTAGCTGTCCTCTTCCCTTGCCGTATCTTTAACTGTATCTTGAATTACTAAAACAAGAAATATAGGCATCAGCACCTGGAAGGCAGTGTGTGCGATTTACCTGCACTCTATTCTCACTCGGGGCATAAATTCCAAAAGACATTACTGTGTGGGAGAACAGTTCAATCGTTTCAGAGTTCTGAGAAAGCATGAACACCAGTTAAAAAAGATCAAGTGCTATGGGAGAATATTCTGAAGAAGTCTAACAGTAAGAGGCACCTATTGTTGCAGAAATGTTGCGAAACAAGAAAACCATGCACCCCTCTGAGAGTTAATAAACCTGAGTTTATTACGTTGGTGGCCCCAGAAGAGCTAGCGCTCTGAAGATCTGGGCCCTGAGCTCAGGAGCAATTTTGCTTTTATATCCCCGCTGTTACAGTTAGCATGGGCTATGGGCAATTACAGAGCACATGATTTAGGAATTTAGGTAATACTTCTGTTATGGAGACAGAACAATTATAGGGGAGATAGAGTCTTCAGTTGATCTCAGGACCACTCTGCCCTCCGGCCTATGCAGTAAGCATGTCCACAGAGGCAGAACAAAGAGGGGATTAGCTTTTTGAGTGCAAATTCCTCTTCACTATGACGTTCACAGTACAGTATGACCAAGTTCAGAGTGTTAAGTCAGTAAGAGAGGTTCAAACTGTGAGATATCTCTCAAGTAAAAACAATAGAACGTTCAAAACATAAGGGCTGAGGATGAAGAATCACATATAACTTCAAAAGACCAGACAGAAAAATAACCGCAAAAAGAAAGTGCAACAAAAATCTGGGGGTAAAACAGGAGATTATTAGCAGGTAGAAGAGATTTGCAAGAAATTAGTAGGTAGGAGATTAGCAGGTAATCTCCAGGTAGGAGATTGTATATCTGGGAGCCACCCCACTAGCTAGGAGAGAAGAGTACATAAAGCCAAGTCCTGGGGGCAGACAGAAAATAAGAGCAGAAAAATGAGAACCCACATTAGAAGGTACTGTAGAAGTTAGAATAACAAAGACACGAGAATCTAAAAAATAATAACATTCCTCTAATAGCAGCAAACACTTATATAGTACCTAACATGTACTGGTACCCTTCCTAAAATGCTTGACATAGCTTAACTTAAAGAGGTGTTATTGTTACTCCTGTTTTATAGATTAGAAAAATGAGGAAGAAGTAGGTGACTTCCCTAAAGACATGTATTGAGAAGCAGAGCTGGGATTTTGGCAAATCTGTACTCCTAACCACTAGGTAAACACGCCCTCTTCTCAGTTAAGACCACTTCATTCAAACAAACCACTGTACTTCTCTGAGCCTCTGTTATCACTTCCAAGGCTTTTGGGGAGCAGATGATGAGATAGTAAATGGGAAAACCCTTTGTAATTTAATATACCCTGTATAAGGGTACTCTGCAGTTGTTCCCCACCAGGCCCACTTCCATCTAATACCTTTCTTTGCAGAATTTGGAAACGAGATTAGGGAGAGCTGAGGTCAATAACATTTCAAGTGCCATTGTTCAGATAAAATTTCCATGACTCCATTAAAATATAATCAGATTTTTTTTTTTTTCCTACCACTCAGCAATTGGTTTCTTATCCTGAGCATAAACTAGAACATGATACCTTTCTGGACAGAATGCCTTAGTACATGAAGGGACCTCTGAAACTTGGGGCTGTAAAAATTAAAGTGAGTGAAATGACAGCTGTACTGCATAATGGATAAAAAGAAATCCGATGATATAAAAGGTGGTCACACTGTTATTCTAATCAGTTAATAACAACAACAACAACAACAACAACAACAACAGGACAAGGGGTGGGATGGTTCTGCTATCAACCAGAGGAACAATAAGGTGTTCCAGTAATCTCAGCCGGGATCCCTTCAGCTCTGCGGGAGAAGCCGGGAGGCTGTCTTGGAGCTTCCTTGGAGGATAAACCGAAACGCACACTCCTGCGAACCGCTGACCTTCCGAACTGGTCCCCTCGCGTCAACTCAATTCTATCCTCGGCCCCCACCTCCCCGGATTCTACGTCAAGCGCTCGGAGGTGCAGGGACGCCGCCTCCCTGCTGGCACTCACCTCTAAAGTTTTCACCAGGATCTTCATATAGATCTCAGAAATGCCCAAAGACACCCCAAAGGCAGAAGGCAGGAGGATGAAGCCGAGCACCAGCGTCAGCCAGATGGAAAAGATCTTCACGGCCAGCTCTGCGCCCTCCATGGCTTGGCGTTCCCTTTCGAAAAGGGTCCTAGAAGAAGTCCGAGAGCACGAGCTGTCCCTGTCCCCAGGCAATCGGGCGGCAGCTCCGCGAGCAGAGACGGGTCAGCGCCGCCGCCTGCCCGCACTCACCTCTGCCGCGGAAAAAAAGAGAGGAAGGAAAAACTTTCAGAACGCCGATAATTTCCTTCCTTCCTCTTCGGCTCCTCCTCGCTCCAGCGGGTTAACTCTTTCTCCGCGAAGGCTCAGGCCCGCGCCGAAGCCACCGCAACGCACCAGACCTAGGAGCACCCGCAAGAAGAAGGGGGCTAGGGCGAGCGATGGGGCTCAGCGGCGCGGGCAGGGCGCGCGAGTGCAGCCGGGAACGCGCCCTACGCTCTGCCTGATTTCCTCTGGGTGGCGATCGCGACAACTCAGCGGTGACTCACAGAGGACCTCTGGGAGCGAGGATCCCCGCCAGCACACCGCACCGCAGCACCGGCCGCGACGGAACTGGCGCCAGGCCCAGGACTGTGCTGGGGGCTGGCCGCGCTCCGCCGCCCGACGCCCTATTTCCGCGCGTTGCCCTCGCCCCCCCTCCTCCGCCACCCAACCGGGAGCATCCAGCGGTGACCTCCTCTAAGAGCGCTGCAGCCTCCTGGGCGTCCTCGGTTCGTCCCACCTCCCCATCGGTTCGTCCCACCTCCCCCCGTCCCCCCCTCCCCCCCAGGACTCAGCGAAAGTCCCGTAGGGCGCAGAGTTTTCATCTGAAACTGTTAGCATTTTCTTCACCCCCAAAATGAACTACTGGCATGTCCGGGACTCTTGAGAAGGTCTTGTTTGTGTGGGTGTAAAACGACCTCTGGGAAGAGCTTTCAGGGAGAGAGAAAAGCTCAGAGCGCTGCTGAGATGCCGCTGGCGCCGCTTCTAGGTCTCCCACACCTTCCCCTCCGTCCCGTACGGAGCTGAGCTAATCAGCGGGGTGAAAAGCTCTCCCCACAAGGCGCGTACTCCACTTAGACGCCATCTCCCTAACACAGAGCTCCTTCGGCTGAGGGTCGCACTCTTGCCGGGGTAATTTCCCAACCACAGCTTCCCCTATCATTCACCCGACACTCTCAAGCTCACCGAAACTGCAGAAAAATGCCAGGCCCGCGCAAGCCTTCACCAAGCTGACAGCGCCTCCTGGATATTCAGTCCCCGCACTGCTACCTTGCTAGCTAGTGCTGATTAGAACAATGAAGGGCAGAACCCTATACGGGTATTTACTACTCTACGGTTCGTGTCTCTTAAAGACCGGATCTGATTTTAAGAATGAGCATGAGAAGGAATGTTGAAAGTGTAGTATATGAGAAAATCGAGCTGCTCGGGGTTTCCAGATCATCACTGAATGGGACCAAAATTTCATACAGTTCTCTTTCGCGTGTTATTTCAAGCTGGAAAAACTGGGAGGACCAGCAAACTGAATGGAAACAGGGTTGGTAGCCAATACTGCAAAGAAAGCCGCCCTTACCCAGGGTGTGGAGAAGTGGGAGATGGAAGAAAGGCGAGAAGCTCCACTGCAAATGTAAATATTTGTCCCTGCATCTCCTGCCAGGTAGGTATCACAAATCTCCTGCCCCACTAAGAAGGGAGGGAAATTATAACTTGGTCATAAAAACAAAGTTATGAATGAAGACATTTCAGGCATTTGTTTTCTTAAAATTAAACCTCTTCATAGTCTGCCAGTTTATAAAAACAAGGAAAACACAATTGCTAAAATCTTTCCAAAATCCTTGCTGAAAACAAACACAAATTTAGCACAAAACTTCAAAGATTATACTGACTCATTTAATACTATACGTTCAGGCAAAACTTACTCTCCTTTTACTTCCTAAGGAATGCGAAATGTACCAAAGTTTACCCAACAAAGTCCCAGCAAAATTTACCCGACAAAGCAGGCAGCTTTGGGAAGACCTCTTTCTGCCTATCCAGACACAGGTGCTGAGTGCCCAGAATCTCCAATGATTTCTGTTGCTCATGACTTAACTCCGTGTTTTCTTTGTTTTGAGTTCTTTACTATTATGGAAGAGTTATTGTCCCACAGAATGGTGAAATGGTAATGAAGAGGAAATTTCAGGAATTTTCCACTCAAATGTTTAACCTTGTAATCAGCTCTTTGTCTTGTTTTTGTAAACATGCTTGCTGCATAGGCCAAAGGGCAAGGTGGTCTCAAAATCAACTGAAGACTCACTGCCCCCCACCTTGGAATGTTCTATCTAGATAACAGATGTATTCCTTTAGTGCTTAAACAAATGTACTCCCTTTTGTGTGTTTGCAGATAAGCCCTATTGTGCTGGCTGGAAAATTACTGCTTGACTATCGCCCATGGGAACATAGGCTATCATCCATGGGAATATAACATTCTAACAATAAGCTTTCTGTTTCTGTACCCCCACTTGCACACTCAACCTATGGGTTGACAGGTAGTGAATAGGAGAAAAATAGACTTTCGTGTTTAAGACACAATGAGGAATGGGATTTAGGGCTTAAAAACTCTGTACCTCTACATTTCGGGGCTGCTTAATTTGGGGTCTGCGTACTCCTGGCAGACCCAGCTGGCTGAATAAAGAGTGTGTTTCCTATAACTCACTGATTTCTGGTGGTCCATGTGTCTTTCGGTGGCTGGCAACTATAACACTATAAAAGAAAATTTTTCCCTGAGCTCTGGGCCCAGATTTTCAGAGCACTAGCTCTTCTGCGACCACTAGTATAATAAAACTGAGTTTCTCCAACCCTCCAGGTGCTGCTTGATTTCTCACTGGTCTGAGTCCTTGTAATTTTTATGCAATAGTAATAACATGCAATTTGGACTCTTAAATTAACTCCAGCCCAGACACTTATAAGTTTGAACAATTCATTTAGTCCTTCTGTGCTTTGTCTATCTCACCAGTAAATGGATTCTTTTTAAGGTCAAATGTGATTGTGTTTGAAACCACTTGTGAATGACAAAGCTCTCTGCAGGGATCAAAAGGCAGCCTACCGCAAGTGCAAAAGCTCTCCTCCATCTTTTTCTCACCTAAAACACAGGAAAGCCAAGATAAACTCACCTTTTCAGTGATGAGGGAGGGAGAAGGAAGAGAAGAAATGGCAGAGGTCCCACTGTTCCCTTTATACTCTCCCTTTGACTCACCTCTCTCTTCTCCTATTCCCTTTAAGGCTCATTCAATTAAACCTAGGTAGAACCCCTACTCCCTTCCTGCAATTAGGACCCTCTTCACTTACTGGATTAGTTTTCCAGGGCTGCCTTAACAAATTACCACAAACTTAGAGACTTAAAACAACAGAAATTTATTCTCAGTTCTGAAAGCCAGAAGTCTGAAATCAAGATGCTGCTGAGTCACATTCCCTCCAAAGGCTCTAGGGGAATATCTTTCCTTTGCTTCTTCCAATTTCTGGTGGCTCCCAGCACAACCTGGCTTGGGCCTGCATAACTCCACTCACTGCTTTAGGCTTCACATGGCCTTCTTCCTACGCCTTTTCTTCCTATTTCTTTAAAGACACTTATCATCCTTGATTTAGGGCTCTCCCTAATCTAGGATGATCTCATCTTGAGATTTTTGCTTACTCTACAAAAATCTTTTTTCCAAAAGATATTATATTCACAGAAACAGGCATTTAGGATTTGGACATATCTCTTGGGAGGCTACAATTCAACCCAATACATATACTATCTCTGTAAACTGGGATAATACACATATATGGAGAGGTTGTTATTGGGGTTGGAGATTATGTATTTAAAATTTAGCTGATAGCAAATGTTCAATAATAAGGTTTTTTGTACAATCCCGTTTTTACCTATTGTTCTAGAATATATTTAAGTAACACTTCCTTTCACTCTCAAAAATGTCCTGGTTTGAATGCTAAGTCACATGATTCCTTTATGCCTACATAATTTCTAAGATCTCTTCCAGTGTAAAATATTAGATTCTTTTACAAAACTCACTGTCAAGTCCCTGCATGACCCCTTGTGAATATCTGATGCCAAATGTTGTATTGAAACATGAAGAAAAAGGATTAGCATCTAGTCCAGAACTTCTCAAACCTTACTGGGTAGAAATCCTTGGGGCACTTGTAAAAGGAAGATTTTTAGTCAGTAAGGCTGGGAGGGGGACTGAGATCCCGCATTTTAATGAGCTCCCAGATGATGTCGATGTTGGTCTACCAACTACACCGTGAGCAGCAAGCCCTTAGAATATGGCCAAAGAGGGGAGTGTTATATTTAAGTGATAACAAAAGGCTGTGAGGTCCAGGTAAGTCTTTGGAAGCCAACATAATAAAGAATTGATTCTGAAGAGCTGACCCCAGAACTCCTATTATTTGTATCTTCTTCATATCCTTGCTTTGACAACAATTATGGGCAATGGGAATAGGTTAAAAAAATTTGAGCAAATATCAGTACTCTCATGAATAGATGTTTATGGCAAATATGATGTCATAGTTGGAGCCCAATAATAAATATTGATTTAATTTAAGAGGTAGGGTAGAATGGAGAAATCTGGGAGTGAAGCAGTTGCTGAAGCATTTTATTAAACAGACAAGTTTTGCATTTCTTGTCTCCAGTCTCTTTTAGAGACCTCTCTTTTCTCTGATTTCACACCTTTCTTGGGGCTTCATCATATCCTACCTTGATTTGTGTATTTGCTTCATCATCCCACTGTAAACGGCTTAATATTAGGACCCACATAGTCATTGTAACTCCTTACCCATTATTCCATTCCTTCTCCACCTGCACAGAATTTTATTTCATACCACACTATTATTCAAAGCCAGCAGTGGCTCCCTAAAGGTCACAAAGGAAAGTCCAAATATCGAACATCTTAGGTTAGATCCTGAAGCACTCCAACTTTAACTTCCATCACATTTCAGCAAAACCTTTCTTACTTTCCCCTGGTTACTTTCCCCTGGTTTCTGCAGGATTTCTTCTTCTCTGGGTCTTTGATTACATCACAATGCTCTCCCCACAAGCCCTAGTTCCTGCACACCTCTCCTGATCTCTCATCTAAATATCACTCACTCCACAAGTTAGGGATCCAACATGGGGATCCTGCCAGTTGCTGAGTATGTCTATTCTATTTATGCATTCAAGAACTGGAAAAATAACCACAGGTTGGATTTAGGGAGTCATTAGGCCCACTGTTAGATGGATCTGAGCTAAAACTCCATTGTTCACCATAAACTCCTATTCTTATAGGTAGATCAGAGTGATATTTTGAAGTTAGTGTCAATTCAGGAACAGTGTCCAGTATTCCCTGAAAAGTCTGATTATTTTCCTTCAATGTACAGTCACTCTGGTAAATGTCCGTAGGTCCCTCTGAGGAAGACTGGGAGACAGACTAACAGTGTAGAATTTTGGTAGTCCTCGAGGGGACTGAGTCTCCCCTTCTTGCACGTGGTTCTGGGTCTATAAACTGGCTCAAGTTTGGAAATTAATTGAGAGACCATGAATATCTAGAGTTCAGTTAGGAGCAACTAGCCAACCTC